TTGGAATGTTCTTTGAGGAGCCCTCTTCCTATCAGCCTGTTTTTTATAAGTTTCAAAAGTCTTTTTTAAAGCAGTTTTTGTATTTCTCCAAACTTCTTCCCACCCCCTCACCCATTGGTCAAGTGTCAGGGAGGCGGAGGGTGGTTGAGGATATTCAGGTATTGGGTTGAACTCTTTTCCTGTGGCCACTCTGAAAGGCATGTAACCAGTGCTGCTGTGCACGGAGTTATTGTATGCTACTTCTGCGAATGGGAGAAGATCGGTCCAGTTCGTTTGTTGGTAGGAAACATAACATCTAAGATATTGTTCCACCATTTTATTAGCGGCTTCTGCGGCCCCATTAGTGGCCCGGTGAAAAGCAGATGATAAGCCTTGGGATGATCCAATTAATGTAAGGAATGTTCTCCAAAACTTTGCTGTGAACTGCACCCCTCTGTCTGAAATTATCCGCTTAGGGGCGCCGTGCAGTCGGTAGATGTGCTTTAGGAACAATTTGGCCAGTCGTTGGGCGGATCGGAGTCCTTTGCAGGCGATGAAATGAGCCTGCTTTGAAAATAGGTCTATTACAGTCCAGATGACAGTGTGCCCACTACTTTCAGGTAGGTCTACTATAAAGTCCATAGCTATCTCTTCCCATGGTTGAGAAGGGTTTGCCACGGGTTGTAGTAGTCCAGGGGTTTTCCCTGGGATTCTTTTCATTGTGGCACATGTAGCGCAACTTTTCACATAGTTTTCCACATCCTTTTTCAATCCCGGCCACCAAAATTGTCGACGGGTGAGGTGTAGGGTTTTTAAATATCCAAAGTGTCCAGCCTGTTTTACATCATGGCTGTGTTTGAGAGCATTAAGACGGAGGGCTTCTGGTAAATATAGCTTTCCCCCCATGTAAGCCAAACCATCCCTGCACATTAGGGTGGCCTGATTATCTTTGAACCATTGGTCGGTGAGGAGTTCTCGTTTTATTTTCTTCGCTCCAGGGTCATCAGGATTGGGAACCCTGCGAGGTGCGAGTTGATTGGCAGTTTGTGGATTGGGAATAATCGCCTCGTTAACCTCTTCTCGTTTGCTCTTGTATTGGGGTAGCCGGGATAGCGCATCTGCTAGGAAGTTCTTTCCTCCGGGTATGTACTTTAGAGTGAAGTCGAAGCGATTAAAGTACTGTGTCCACCGCACTTGCTTTGGGGATAGCTTGCGGGGAGTTTTTAGCGCTTCTAAATTTTTGTGATCTGTCCATACCTCAAATGGCACCTTGCTCCCCTCCAGATAGTGTCGTCAGTTTAATAGTGCCCATCTAATCGCGAAGGCCTCTTTCTCCCAGATTGCCCATCTCCGTTCGCTCTCAGTAAATTTCTTAGAGGTGTAGGCGCAGGGTTGCAGGATCCCATTTTTGTTCTTTTGCAGTAACACAGCTCCAACTGCCACATCGCTGGCGTCGGCTTGGATCACAAAGGGTTCCCCTGGGCAGGGGTGCTTTTAGGGCTGGTTCAGCAGCAAATAGTCTCTTTAAATTTTCAAAAGCTGTTTGACAGCCCATTGTCCATGCTAGTGGTTGGCCCGGTCGTGGTTTCCCTCCTCCTTTGCCTGTTTTTAGTAGTTCGGTGAGAGGCAAGGCAATTTCGGCAAAAGAGGGGATAAATTGGCGATAAAAGTTGGCAAATCCCAGAAAACTCTNCATTCAATAGCTTCTTTAACACTTCTCTTACCAGCTTTATGTGATCAGTCATATTCGTGCTGTATATCAGAATATCATCAAGATACACCAAAACCCCTTTGTACAAGTGATCATGTAGTACTTCATTGATTAATTGCATAAACACAGCTGGGGCCCCCTGTAGTCCAAACGGCATGACTTTGAACTGATAGCTCCCCATAGGACAGTTGAAGGCAGTTTTCCACTCGTCTCCCTTTTTTATTCTCACTCGGTAGTACGCCTCTCTCAGGTCTAGCTTAGTGAAGACACTCCCTTTAGCTAGATGGGTTAATAAGTCCTTCAGTAGGGGGAGTGGGTATTTGTTTTCCACACTCACAGCATTGAGACCTTTGTAGTCCATGCAGAGACGTAGAGACCCATCCTTTTTCTCTTTGAATAATACAGGGGCTCCCATGGTTGATTTGGCCCGTTCGATAAACCCCCTCGCTAGGTTTTTGTCCACGTATCGCTGCATCTCCTCCATGTCAAGGGGGGACATAGCATACATTCTGGGTCGTGGGAGTTTAGCTCCTGGCACCAGTTCAATGGAGCAGTCATTGGGTCTGTGAGGGGGTAGGGCATCACATTCTTTTTCACTAAAAACCTCCGCCAGGTCCCAGTATTCATTGGGGATGACTGGATCGCCTGGGGGCAGTGAGGTGGCCATGTGCGCTCGCTCTTTGGGTGGCCTAAGGTGTCCTGCAACATCTGTTGACTCAATGGGGGGATCAGGCCCTATAGGTAGTCTCACGGTTCTCATTCCTTTCTTCCACCAGATGAATGGTTTCCATTTGTCTAGCCAGGCTAACCCTAGGATCACTGCCTCAGACATTTTTGGAGCCACCAGGAAACGAATAAATTCCCAATGTGCACCTATCTCTAGACGTAAAGGTTCAGTTATTTGTGTGACAAGAGGCCCCCCCCATGAGAGA